TAGTCCCAGCTACTTGGGAGGCTGAGGCAAGAGAATCACTTAAGCCCAAGAGTTTGAGGTTGCTGTGAGCTGTGACACCATGGCACTCTATCAGGGGCAGCATAGTGAGACTCTGTCTCAAAAAAAAAAAAAAAATTACACGTGCAGTTTAAAATTAATTACGTACAAACTTCCCAGAACAGAGCAAACCTTACCTTTCAAATCATTTCAGATATTTATTGGATATACAAGGGGCTGGGCCCTAATGAACTATGTTTTAGCTGACTCATTTCCCAACAACAGAGATAGGAGAAGCACTTGTACCAAGTAAGCATGCGTGTGGTCACTTACTTAGTAATGTACGCCCCTAAGTAGCTTTCAATCACTGTGTCCGTGGTGAGCAGGCAGTTCTCAGGCAACGAAATTATCATCTGTCCCTCCTTGCCAAAAAAAAAAGTAAAGTTTAGGTCACTCATACTTTGGGAAGGACCAGTGAGTGTGAGTCTTGCAAAGTCCTTGATCCCACAACCATCTGCCAAGAACCCACTATAATTCAACCACAAGACACCAGTGAACCCAACAGTGGACTGACTCCCAACTCCCTGAGTTAGCTGCTGCAATGTCAGGTACCATAAGCCCAATAAGAATTAAAGGTCAGGGGCAGCACCTTTGGCTCAGTGGGTAGGGCGCCAGCCCCATATACTGAGGGTGGTGGGTTCAAACCCAGGCTCAGCCAAACTGCAACAACAACAAAAAATAGCCGGGTTGTGTCAGGCACCTATAGTCCCAGCTACTTGAGAGGCTAAGGCAAGAGAATCACCTAAGCCCAAGAGCTGGAGGTTGCTGTGAGCTGTGATTTCACAGCATTCTACTGAGCATGATAAAGTGAGACACTGTCTCTAAAAATGATATTGTCCTAGGGGCGGTGCCTATGGCTCAAAGAAGTAGGGCGCCAGCCCCATATACTGGAGGTGGTGGGTTCAAACCCGGCCCTGGCCAAAAACTGCAAAACAAAATAAAATAAATAATACATTTTAAAAAAAAATTAAAGGTCAGTTATGTGGTGACATCCACCACCAGTCAACCTTTCACCAGAAGGAAATACTTTGAAAATTCAAATCATATTGTTCCTTCACTTTTTCGACCAGAAAATAGTGCTACCAATGGGAGACAGGCAGAAACCACCCCTGAAATTCTATCTAGCACAATCCAACTGACCATGATTTTTGCCAGCTAGATAGGGAAAGGGCAGCATAACCAGCACAAGAAGTATCTGATTCTACCACTTGCAAAAATAAAGTTTTCAGTTTCTCCCACTAAGCCAGAACCTAAAAAGAACAATCAAAATGTAAAGTAACAGATACCAGAAAGAAAGAAAGCACTAAGAAGCCAGATGCAACATCCTGCTTTCATTTTTAACTGGCATCTACACTGGCTGAAAATTTTCAGCTGAAAATCTTCTGGGATCAATTTCTGGGCTCCTTGTCTGTAACACAAGATTAAGCCGGATGACGACTATAGTTCCTTCCCCTTCCAGCATCCTGTAACTTTCTGATTTTAAAAAAATGGGGTGTATATCTCTTCATCAACAAAATGCAACCTGTAAGATTAAGATCTGTTTATTTCACTATACATAAAACATATCCTGATTCTCAAAAAATTTAATAAAAAAGCTGCCCTTGAATGTACCAGTGAAGCAACCAACAATTACCATTTCATGATCTAAACAAAACAACCTACAATTACTGCTGTATACAGGACAGATATATTTCTCTTCTCTAAATTCTGCTACGGAATAAAGTTATTACATCTTTTTCAAAAAATAAAAATATTGCATAATAATGTAAATGTACTTCCCAGTACTGAACTATATACTTAAAAATGGCTAACATGATTAATTTTATGTTACATTTATATTTTGCCATAACTAAAAATTTTTAAATAGTAAAAACAGCATAACAGAATTACAACATAAGGCTTGGCACCTATCGCACAGTGGTTATAACGCCAGCCTTATACACCAAGGATGGCAGGTTCGAACCCAGCCCGGACCAGCTAAACAACAATGACAACTGCAACAAAAAATAGCCAGGTGTTGTGGTGAGCGCCTGTAGTCCCAGCTACTTGGGAGCCTGAGGCAAGAGAATCACTTAAGCCCAAGAGTTTGAGATTGCTGTGAGCTATGACCCCACAGTACTCTAACGAGGGCAACATAGTGAAACTCTGTCTCAAAAAAAATAAAAAAGAATTACAACATTAAAAGGTACCATTCTTTATTGGAGCTAAGTTTAAAATAATTTAAAAATTAAGCCTGAGCAAAAGCCAGACCCAAACAGAAAAATTAGCCAGGTGTGGTAGTGGGTGGCTGTAGTCCCAGCTACTTGGAAGGCTGAGGAAGGAGGACTGCTTGAGCCCAGCAGTTTGAGGTTGCAGTGAGCTAGGCTGACACCACTGCTCTCTAGCCCAGGGGACTGAGAAAGACCCTATCCCTAAAAAATTACTTAATTAATTGAGATAATTTTAAAATGAAATTAATTTCTGGCTTTGCCAAAAATTTTGCATTAGAAGTAAAAACATAAAACTTGTGCATTCTATATCCTTTAAAATCGTAGAGAAAGGAGTAAAAGGGACCTTATCTCCTCATTTCACAAGTGAGGGAACAGAAGCCCAGAGGATAAGGAGCCTCACTCTGGGTCCCCTAGGCACTGAAGGCAGCCCAGAGACAGGCTCCAACGCCACCTCCCACACTTGTCTGGGTTCTACTTGCCCCACTCAGATGACACCAGCTCTTCTGGCACACTTAAAATATGATCTGATTTCTCACATGCTATAGCAGAGACTGCTAATTGTCTGCCTCAAAATGCCTCCTCCCTCCTCCTCACTAAAGAAATCCTACTTGGGGGACATGGTGGCCGGGAAAGACCAGCACATCTCCCCTTCCTTGCAGCTGGCTGGGGCCATGAACCTGATCATTGGCAAAGGAGATAGGGACTGGAATTAAAGGGAGGAAGCCTCCCCTCCCTCACCCCAGGCCTCTTCCTCCATTCACACTCCAAGAGCCACAGCGCAATCGGAGGGTGTGGGCTCTCTTAAGTCCACGACAGCTGGAAGCAGTCAGGCCTCTGACCACCATGGCACTCCCCCACCTGCCCAGGTCTGACTACTCCAGGCACATTTCTATGACAGCAAAATAAACTTCTGTGCTGCTTTAAACACTGCAGTTCTAGGCTTGTCTTTTCTGTGCAGCAAACTTTTTCCTAGTTGAAAGAACTATATTCAAACATATCCATTATGTAAGTACAAAATGGCTGCATATCTGAACTATTTTTAATTCACTTGATTTGTACCACACAAACAAAGCAGTAAAATCTACTCTGGTTTCTAAGGATAAAAGTGAAGTTCCCACCTGCAGGGATGTTTTGCTCATCAGCCCTCTTCCTGTACCTAAGAAAGAAAACATGAGAAAAGGATAAATCCCACAGTATCTTCAAGGTCCTATAGATACCATTTTGAATAAAAAACATAAAAGAACTTCAAAATAATACAAAGCTAAAGCTGGTTTATCTCAGTCTTTGATTCCCAGAGGAGACGGAGGGTTAGGAAACTACTCTGGAAATGTCCTTACCCATGTGAATTTAAAATTATTGAAGGACAAAGTCAGCTTCAGAGAGAAGATCTTAAGACCACCAAGCACTTTATACAGACTACTGCTGGGCCCCCCTTTAAGCTCAACTCTCTCCCTAGAGCCTATACCATGAGTGGGGGCCCAATTCCTAATACCCACCCAACCTATAAGACTGGACCCTCAGGCCACTAAAACATACCACCAGACTTAGCTCTCTCCAGTAACGACCTTGAGACCCCATTGACTGACTAACCAGCAAACTCCAGTCAGGTCCCACAAAGCCTGTAGACTTCATCCTCCCCTCTTGGACCAGATAACCCATTAGACAGACTCTCTCTTTGGCTGGGTGAGTTCAGCTGGGCAGATCCAGAGCCAGCTGCCCCCTGCCTCTGACTGGAGCACAATCACCACAGTAACTGTTACTACCCCACCAACTTCCACAAGTTTCTTCTTCCATGCCCAAGGTTCTACTCCTAGAACAGACACTAAAAGCATGCTCAGCTGATATTTCTTCTAGCAGGCAAAATTATTATAGGACCATAAGAGACCTAGAGTATTAATGTCTCCAAATTCATAGTTCTTAACCTTTTTGCTCTTAGCTAGGAAGGAATATAATTAAGCAAAGGCAGTTCCCACTGCCCTACTGGACTGCTCCAGGATCATGGTGGGAATTCCTGTCTCAGGTCCTCAATCAGTTTCCCAGCAAGTTGGATTTGATGAGTCCTAATTCATCTCCCTACCCTGGAGCAAACTACCTGCCCATACACATAGTTCTAACGTTAACAACTTATTTTATTTAGTGTATCCCATCCTTGTGGGACAGAATCCTTCCCAGAATAAATTATTAACGGGAGGACCTTCGTCTATGTAGTGAACCCTCACAAGACTTATGTGTTAATATAAGTGGAAATTTCTCCCTAAACATACATATGAACAGAAACTGGCAACATGGTATAAATCTGGAAGACACTTTGCCCTATTTCTACAATATACAGTGTTCAATACCAAAAATGTGTCATAGTAATCTGCATGCTGGATATAACATGGAAGGGAGCATTAGTAAGGCTTGTTACCAACATCTCAGTGCCTCCAAATTTTTGCAATCATAAATCCACCTGGGAGACTCAGACTTTGCTAGTGCTCTTGAGGTGAAAGAAGGTCTGAGGTCAGTTCCCAAGGCATAAATTAGGTGACATCCTAAAGATAGGATCCTGCTTGCAACTTAGGAGCCTTCCCTTTCCCCTCCACAAACTAAGATTAATGCCTTTGGTGGGGCACGGTGGCTGATGTCTGTAATCCTAACACTCCGAGAGGCCAAGGTGGAGGATCATTTGAGCTCAAGAGTTCGAGGCCAGCCTGAGCAAGAGCAAGACCCTTTCTCTACTAGAAATAGAAAAATTAGCCAGGTGTTGTAATGGGTATACCTGTAGTTCCAGCTACTCAGGAGGCTGAGGGAAAATAATCACTTGAACCCAAGAGTTTGAGGTTACTGTGAGCTATGATGCCACGGCACTCTACGCAGCGTGACAAAGTAGGGCTCTGTCTCAAAAAAAAAAAAAAAAAATCACCCCTGGTCTCCACATGGGTGTCACCTGAGAGATGTATACCACCAGATCTTACCTGGAAAATGAGCAGGCATTAAGTTTGTATCTTCAAACTTCCTATCTTTCAGCCATTTCTTTAGCTCTATAAATTCACACTTGAAGCTCTCATTCACTAATTGGGTGAGAAAAGAACAAATGGTAGGAACAAATCAACATATAATCAGATCACCAAAAAAAAAAATCTCTGGTGGAGCCTGTGGCTCCGTGAGTAGAGCACTGGTCCCATATACCAACGGTGGTGGGTTCAAATCCAGCCCCGGCCAAACTGCAACAAAAAATAGCCAGGTGTTGTGGTAGGTGCCTGTAGTCCCAGCTACTTGCGAGGCTGAGGCAAGAGAATCGCCTAAGCCCAAGAGCTGGAGGTTGCTGTGAGCTGTGATGCCACAGCACTCTACCGAGGGCGACAAAATAAAACTCTGTCTCTAAAAAAAAAAAAATCTCTGATGAAGCACAGCAAATAGACTTACACAATCTTAAGTACCTGTGTATCTAAACATGGGAAAGATACAGTAAAAATATGATCTTATAACCTTACAGGATTAAATGTGATCCATGGACCAAAACTTCATTACACAGCACATGACTATACTGAGTCAATGCAATCCCAATCAAAATTCAAGCAAGCTTTTTATAGGAGTTTATAAACTAATTCTAAAATTCAAGTAGAAATGTGAAAAACCTAGAACAGCCAAAAATATCCTTAAAATACTGGTTTTAAAACACATTATAAAGCTAATCAAATTAGTATGATATCATCAATATAGGCAAACAAATCACTGGAACGGTCTAGAAAATCAGAAAGACCCACATATAAATGATTAACTCATTTTTAACTAAGTACAAAGCCAATTCAGTGGAGAAAAGACAGTCTTTTCAATAACTGATGCTTGAACAGTTCGAATATCTTCATAAGCAAAAGAAAAAAGGCTAGGTGGTGGCTCCCACCTATAATTCTAGCACTCTGAGAGGCCAAGCAGGTAGATCCCTTGAGCTCAGGAGTTCAAGACCAGCCTGAGCAAGAATGAGACCCCATCTCTACTAAAAATAAGAAAACCAACCAAGCCTTGTGGCAGGCACCTATAGTCCCTCTTGCTCCAGAGGCTGAGGCAAGAAAATCACCTGAACCCAGGAATTTGAGGTTGCTGTGAGCTATGGTGCCACAGCACTCTACCCAGGGTGAGAGTAAAACTCTGTCTCAAAAAAAAAAAAAAAAAAAAAGAAAAGAAAAGAAATTATCCATGTCTTGGGCCATATGTAATTGCATTTATATAGGGTCCTCAGGTGGCTGCCAAGTACTTTCCCATACAGTACCTCATTTAGACTGAGTTACCCTGAATTTGAAGCAATTAATTTACATCCAAAGATTGATACTCTATAGATAGATAAAGGTAACAACCAGAAAAAGGAATCTGAGAGTTATCCCCAGAGAAGGTAGTTGAAGCAATGAGTTAATATATACATAACATTTAACTCCCCATCAGGATTTAAAAGAGTATAATGGTACCATTAAAGTGTTCTTTAAGAACTATTCTCTATGAGAAAATCAACATGTACAAACAGACACTAATCAATAAAGAATTTATTTTTTCATCACTGGCACTAAAAGAAACAAAAGGTACCTCCTCTTGATTCAGCACTTCTGGCGAGTTTCCGTCTTCTGATCCGGCTTGTTCTCCCTCTTCTCTTACGCATACTCAACCTGTAGTTCCTGCGTAGGGGCCCAATCTAAAATAAAAGGCATTTCTTTGTTTGCCTTACTTTCCAGTTATGTGATAAACACTGTTCTTTGAACCTTTAAATATACAAACACTATGTTTTGATAATTGTTTTTCTAAAGTGTTTTGTATGGAAAGGTGAGCGAAAGCATGATACCTGCAGTAATGGAATGCCCATTATACTGGTCCCTCTAAAACAGTTTTATCATGAGGGCCTACTGAATACTGATTAATCACAGAAATCTTCATCACTAATTTCATAAACATTTGCTTTGGTGACTTACACATCACAATTCTAATCAATGTATACTAAAGCACCAACTTAAATTATCTATACTTAGATAATAAACAATATCTGTGAAGCCTCATCAGCTAAGAAGTCTTAAAGAAAAAAAAAAATCACCTTTCAGTGTGAAGTAAACAAACAGTGGTTTGTTCATAGACCAGGATTTGGAAATAAATACAGTCTACTGTAATCAAATAGGTGTTTGCAAATGAGTAAGGAGAAAACGAAAGCCAAAAAGCCATACAAATCTAACAGATGATCATCAAAAGATCTAAAATAAGCTACTAGAGGTTCTACATGCTACTTCCTTGGAAGCATAAAAAAATAAAATCTATTAAAGACACCAGCATGACACTGACAAAGGCGTGGAGCCATTAATAGGAATGATAGGAATTAATACAGCCATAATAGGAAGATATGTGCTAAGATGCAAAGATACCCAAGACACATTAAGTGAAAAAATAAGCTGCAGAACATTATAAATTAAATAATCCCTTTTGGGCTTGCTTTTGGGCACATTACATATGTTTATAAAACAAGAAAATTTAAGAAAGGATATTCAAAAATGTGCAAGAGCAATAGAATACTACTGAGCCATAAAAAAAGAATGAAATCACGTCATTTGCAGCAACACAGGTGGAACCAGAGGTCAATCAGGTATTAAGTGAAATAAGCCAGGCAGAGAAAGACAAATATTGCATGTTCTCCCTCATATATGGGTGCTGGAACAGTTGCTCTCATGGAGATAGAGAATAGAATACAAGAAGGTGAAAAGGCCGTTGGATGAAGGGAGATAAAGAGAGTTAATGGGTGCAAACATAGAATCAGTTAGAGGACTGAGTTCTAATGTTCCATAGTAAACTATGGTGATTACAGTTAATGTACAACATATTTCAAACTAGCTGATGCCCTCCCTGGTGGCCTAGTGGTCAGGATTCAAAGTTCTCCCTCTCTCAAAATAGCTGGAAGAAAGGTTTAGCAATGTTCCCAGCAACACATAGAAATTATAATAAACATTCGAGGAGATGGACAGTCCAATACCCTGACATGATCATTACACAGGCCATGCACAAAACAAAACTACTACATCTACCCCTATAAATATGTTCAAATACTAGTATCAATTTTTGAAAGTGCTTGGGGAAGAGGCTTTTACTATTACTTCTGTATCCTCCCACACTGTGACTTACACACGTATGAGTACGTAAGGTGACATAATGTGAATATTAAATGCATACATGTGCATTTTAAGATGTAACTAGTTTTAAAATCTACTGCTAAAAAATACCAAGGCAGAAATAAAAGACAAAAACTCCAGATAGTATTAATGCCCCAATTCAGCAGCTGAAAGTTTATTGCTTGATCTACCGAAAGCCGGTGAGCTGGTTCCGCAGCCCTGCGAGTCGTGTCCCCTTCCCGTCCCCTCCCGGCGCCCAGCGCTAGGTGACCGAACCGGGAAGCCCCCACCCCGACCCCCGGCCCCGCGCAGAAGCTTCCCACCAGCGCCCTGGAGGCTGCCACGGGGACGCCCGGTGACAGCCGCAGCTATGGGCCCCATCTTCGCTCCCAGTCCTCAAACCCTACACACGAGGGCACTGTCGTCTCCCCACACATACCGACGCCGCCGCTACGAGCCAGCCAGGAGGACGTCAGGACCGGGCCTAGGGCACCTTCCTCTCCCGCAGGGCGGATCCACATGCGATAACTGGGCTATTTCCAAACCATGGGAGGTTACCGTCTCCACAGGACAACACCAGACCTGGTGAGGGTCTGCAATATGAGCTCAGTAAAAACTAAACTCTCCCGCACGCCTCGGCTACCGTTACCGGGGCAACGGGAGGGCCCGACCCGGAAGTGCTCCAGCGCCCCGCAGCTCCGGAAACTCCCCCCAAGATGGGAGCGGTCATGAAAGGGAGTAAGGCGTGAAGAGACCCGAAACGCAGTCCCAGACGAGTTTAAGAAGCGGGATGAAGGTGCAGGGGGAGAGGCTGAGCTCAGCCGTCTCGCCCGTCTGGAGTCCTGATGCAGCCACAGTCAGCCCGACGGGCCGCTGCCGCTTCTGACGCGGGCGCCCACCTCCCAGCCTGCACATGCGCAGTTTGCACGGACTCGCAGCCAACAACCCCCCCCCAGCCCCCCACCCCACCCCCACCCCCGCCGTCAGCCACTTTGCGCCCCGGACTGGAAAACCCAGTGCCCCTGAGGCCGGCTACCTACGCTCTAAGGAGTCGGCCTGCAGAATCTTTCTTTACGAAGTTGGTAAAAGTAACAACTTTTTTTTTTGATACTATGAACACTTGTGTGCAGGAATTTGTTTTAACATGAGTTTTCATATTCTTGTAGTAAATGCCTAGGAGTGCATTTGCTGAGTCATGGTGAAGTCTTGTTTTCTTGTTTTAAGAAACTGTCAAATGCTTTTCCAGAGTGTCTACATACCATTTAATATTCTAATCTGCAATGTGAGTGATCTAAAGTCTCTGCATTCTCACCAGTATTGGATGCTATCACTATTTTTTATTTTGATATTTTATTTTTGATATTTTTATACATATTCTTACAGGTATAGAATGATAACTCATCACAGTTTTTATTTTAATTTCTCCTATGACTAATGATATTGATCATCTTATTGTGTACTTATTTGCCATGTATATATACTTCTTTTTTATTAAATCATTGCTGTGTACATTAATGCAGTCATGGGGTACAATGTGCTGGTTTTATATACAATTTGAAATATTTTCATCAAACTGGTTAACATAGCGTCCGTGGCATTTTCTTAGTTATTGTGTTCAGACATTTATATCCTACATTTAGTAAGTTCACATGTACCCTTGTAAAATGCACCTTCGGTGTGGTCCTACCAGTCCTCCTCCCTCTACCCATCCTGATCTCCCCTTCCCTCCCTTTCCCCTGTCCCCATATTCTTGGGGTATAAGTGGGTTATAGCTTTCATATGAAAGCTATAAATTAGTTTCATAATAGAACTGAGTACGTGGTATACTTTTTCTGCCATGAAAGATGGAGACTTTACTTCTTTCATGTTTACATGGACGGAGCTGGAACAAAGTAACAACTTCTTTTTTTTTTTTTTTTTTT